CTCCTTTGGGACCCTCAATGTCAACATCTGGTCCTTCAATATCGACCTTGGGAGCTTTAATGTCACCCTCAATCTTTGGAATTGACACATCCACATCACCTTTGAGTTTGGGACCTTTCAGATTGAAATCCACATTTGGCATGGATATTTTTGGTCCTGAAATGGATGGCATGTTGAACTTCGGTCCTTTGAGTTTTGCATCTGGACCTTCAATGTCAATCTCTGGAGCTTTGATGTCAACACCAGGTGCTTTCATGTCAATTTCAGCTTTTGGAAGGTTAATATCAACATCTGGACCTTCCACTTTTGGACCTTTCACCCCAAATGATGGCATTTTCATCTTAGGCATTTTAAATCCTCCTTTGGGACCCTCAATATCAATATCTGGTCCTTCAATATCCACCTTGGGAGCTTTTAGGTCACCCTCAATCTTTGGAATTGACACATCCACATCACCTTTGAGTTTGGGACCTTTCAGATTGAAATCCACATCTGGCATGGATATTTTCGGTCCCGAAATGGATGGCATGTTGAACTTGGGCCCTTTGAGTTTTGCATCTGGTCCTTCAATGTCAATCTCTGGAGCTTTGATGTCAACGTCTGGTGCTTTCACGTCAATGTCGGCTTTTGGAAGGTTAATATCAACATCTGGACCTTCCACTTTTGGACCTTTCACCCCAAATGATGGCATTTTCATCTTAGGCATTTTAAATCCTCCTTTGGGACCCTCAATATCAATATCTGGTCCTTCAATGTCGACCGTAGAAGCTTTAATGTCACCCTCAATCTTTGGAATTGACACATCCACATCACCTTTGAGTTCGGGACCTCTCAGATTGAAATCCACATCTGGCATGGATATTTTCGGTCCCGAAATGGATGGCATGTTAAACTTGGGCCCTTTGAGTTTTGCATCTGGCCCTTCAATGTCAATCTGTGGAGCTTTTATCTCAACACCAGATGATTTCATGTCAATGTCAGCTTTTGGAAGGTTAATATCAACATCTGGACCTTCAACTTTTGGACCTTTCACCCCAAATGATGGCATTTTGATTTTAGGCATTTCAAATCCGCCCTTTGGACCCTCAATTTCGACCCCTGGATCTTTAACATCAACATCACGTTTTTCAATCTCTCCTTTTATCTTTGAAGCTGACACATCCACATTACCTTTGAGTTCAGGACCTTTGACACTTAAATCCACGCCACGCATGGAAATTTTCGTTCCTTGAATTGATGGCACTTTGATATCCACTTCAGGAGCTTTCACATTAATATCCGCCTTTGGATGGCCAACATCAACTTCTGGCTGTTCTACTTTTGCACCTTTATTTCCAAATGATGGAATTTTCACTTTAGGCATTTTGAATCCACTTTCATGGCCACTAGTGCCAACATCTTTTATGTGTCCTTCAATCTTTGGCATTGATACATCCATATCTCCTTCAACTGTTGGACCTTCAAGTTCAGGTGTTTTTACATTAATTTTACCTTTGGGAAGGTTGAGATCCACATCAGGACCCTTGACCACTTTAGGACCTGTAAAACCAAACGATGCCATTTTGATTCCAGGCATCTCAAATACACCTTTACGCCCTTCAACCTCTGGTCCTTTGATCTCCATTTCAGGTTTTGTTGTGTGTCCCTCAATCTTTGGAAAATCGACATTTCCCTTTGCCTTGCTTCCTTTCAGACTGACATCCAATTCTGGCATTGTGTGTCCTGTTTTGGATGGTATCTTGAATTTCAGTCCATCAATTTTTACATTAGAACCCCCACCATCAACTTCTGGTGCTTTAATATCAATCTCAGTTTTTACATCAACATTTTGTCCCTTGGCCCCAAATGATGGTGTCTTTATCTGAGACATTTTGAAATCCCCTTCTTTCCCCTCAATGTTTATAGCTGGACCTTTAATGTGTACTTTAGGTTCCTTTATTTTTCCCTCAGTCTTTGGCACAGTTACATCAAGATTTCCCTCACTCCTTGGTACTTTGGTGTGAATGCTAGAGGTGATTTCAGGTGCTTTTAAGTCACTGGCAGCTTCTGTAAGTCTAACATTGACAACTGGCTGCATATCTGTCCCTTTGATGTCTAGTTCTGGTTTTTTAACCTCTTTTTGAATCATAGGTACTGATATATCTGCATCACCACTGAGTTTAACTTCAACACTAGTTCCCTCTTCCCTAATTCCAATTGCAGGCATCTTGATTGTTGACATTTTTATGCCACTCACAGTGCCCTCATTTCCTTTGCCTGAAACGTCTATTGCAGATGCTTGCATTCCTCCCTTTCTGCTTGGCAGGTTGGCATCAACCTCACCTTTCAACCTTGAACCTGTAAGGTTGACATCCAGACCTGTCACTGAAATCTTGCCTGGCACTGAGGAATATCCTGAGGTAACATTGCCTTCTGTTATTACAGATCCTCCTATCCTGCCACCACTCGATTCAGTATCAATACCTCTGGAACCGCCACCAAATCTGACATTTGGCATATCAAATCTGCTTGACCCCTTTGCCTGCGGGTGACTGATGGTTGTTTCGGATACCTTCATCTTTGTCCTTTCACCTAAACTGGTGTCAACATTTCCCTCCTGTATCTGGATTGTTTTTCCTGGTAAAGACAGACTAATTGTCCCTCCATTTTCATCAGCTGAGGTTACCTCTGCACCTCCCAACCCACCTCTTGTAATATGCCTACTACCAGTGTTTGTGCTGTCACTTGGTGTCATGCTTGTTCCTAATACCTGAATGCTGCCATCTCCCTGCTCTCCACTCTCTCTTGAGATCTCAAAGCCTCCCTCGCCTGTAACCCCAAAGTTGGGCCCTTTAAACTTAAGACCTGGACCTCTTTCCCCCTCTCTTGTAATTGTTGTGGTCTGAACTCCCCGACTACCCCAGCGTGTCTCTGTAGAGCTAACTTCTGGCCCAGTGTAAGAGACATTGCTTGACTCAAAAACTCCCTCTTCTGCTCCCACTTTACCTGAGGGGCTGCCATGTGAGATTCTGATACGAGGAGAGCCATCTCCAGATTCGTGCCTTAGCCCCTTGAACTCTGGGTTTGAAAATTCTAGTTGCTCACTTATGCCACTTGGCATCTCCACAGTGTAGGTAGTGATGCGGCGGGTGATGGTGGTTATTGTGCTGCCATCGCTGCTTGTACTGCTATGCCGCTCTGTGCGAACATCTACTCCCTCTGCAAGGTCTTCAGACTTCAGCCTTGGTTTAATCTTTTTTGTGTATATTCTCTTATAGTCCTCATCATCTCCACTCTGTTTACAGAAAAAGACAGGAAAGCTTAAAACATGGAAATGTTATTATACCATGTATTTTGTTCAATAGCTTCCTCACAAACAAATTAGTGATATATACTATTTTTAATAAGAACTTACAAGGATGATGTCTGGACTAGAACCTCCAAACCGGGTCTTCCCTTCCCATGTCAGGGTTCCCATTGGTGAACGACATGGTGTGCTCAAGGGTGAGCAGTATGGGGATTTGTCTCCTTTATTTTGTAGTTTCAGTCCAACCTTGTGGCGGTTTAATGTCTTCAATAGCTCAGCTGTTTCTTCTGAGCTCATATTATCAAAGTAGACAGTTGCACCTACAATCTGGTCGCCTATGAATTAAGTAGAGACAGCAGTAAAAAGTATTAATTCTTAAAAAATACTAGGGATTATCCATTATGTAGGTGAGACCAATCTTACTTCATACTTAATGATATGAGAAAAAAGTTAATATGGTACCTTCATATACTTTTCCAGAACGTGCTGCTGGTGACTCTCCTTTCACTTCTTTAACAAAGATTTCTCCTCCACTTGTCTGTTCAATGGTCAAGCCAGTTTTGTCTGGGCCCTCCCAATCTGGAAAGAGCACCTCCCTGGTTTCCTCTTCTTCAGCCATCTGTAAACAGCAAATAAAGAATTTGAGAGAAAATACAAAGTATCCAGCAAGAGATTAAAGTATATGCATTTGCATCAAGGTATACAGGATTAAATATAGAAAGCACAAGATATTTATTGTGAGTTTAACTTGTAAAATACCTTGTTTTTGCTTTCCTCTGTTTAAGCCCTGGTGTGATGGAAACTGTCTTGGTTTTCCTGCATGAAGAAAATATAATAATAATCAGTAACAGACAAAATGAGGACCAAAAATGCATAACTTGATTCCAGACCAAATGTTGTTTTTTCTTTTTCTTTTTTTTTTTATTATTAAGACAAATCCTGAATGAAATATTAACTAACGCAACTCTGTAAGAAGGGCTGGTTTGTAAGACCAAATAGTGAACACTAGATGGTGTTAAAACCCTTTCAGACAACACAGCCTCTACCCCCTTCAAAACACCAAACCATGAGGTCCCTCCCTTCTGAGTGCTCTGTGTTTTGGAAATTTGGTTGGAGTCAGACCACACCCTGCCCTGAGGAAAGCAGCCCAATCCTGTGCCTACACCCCATCTCCAATGTCAATAGAGAGAACAATGATGGTTAAAGCTTTGTAAGGCCTTGCCTTATAAAAACACACACAGAGGTGCAGAAATGTACAGTAACACATACACCAACATGTTAGCGCACATCCTTTCTCTTTAACACAAATGCATGTGAACAGTACTATTGTAACAGTATTGCTGCCTCACAAAGTTGATCACTTTTAAGGTGTACTCTGTAATACAAAAGAACATATCATGTTACTTACTGGGTGTGGTAATTATACTTTACTAGATATTTCTGGACATAATACAGAATATCTTTTAATAAGTAAATGATGCAACAATTCATTATATTTCCATCAGCTCATATCAAGACAATTTTTTCAGGCATGCTTAGTTTTTGTATAACTGTCTATATTTATGTGCATGGTAGTAATCACATTATGCAACCATCACAAAAATAATAAAGTTTGTTTACATCATTCACAGACGTGCCTCTTCAAACATGCTCACTAGTCCTGCCCACTCGCCTCTTTGGAACAGAAAACCAATTGTTTCATTAATACCAAACCCTTCACAACCCACACCTTTAATTACACAAAGCTGTTTAAGCCATGTGCCTCTAACTAGCCAGAAATGGTTTTCATGTCTTACATTGCATGTACTTGGCAAACACTTTACAAATTTACCTTACATACATACACAAGGAGCAATTTGGTGTTCAATGTCTTGATACTTTGCATCATGGATCAACCCACCATTCTTAACATTAACAGACTACCCTTTCTACCACCTGAACAATAGCTACTCAGATGTTTATTGGTTTAATTCATAAATCAGCAATTCAGTTTTCAGAGGGCCCACTGACTACATATAATCTAGATAATTTTTTGTGGAACTGTATTAGAAAAAGCTGTCTGCTATCCAAAACAGCATAAATTGCTTTTGTAAATAGTTTCCTTTGAAAATCCATGGTCATTCAATGTGCTGTGTTTTAATCAAGTGCTTGAGCATTTAATTCGATCATGCCAAGAGCAATCAGTAAGTGGTACTGAAACCTTTTGCTTAAAGATATTTCACTATGAGACATTGACAAAGCTGTATGACCACAGTCATTTCAATGAGAGAATCATTCTGCTGCTGCCTGGTGTAGCTTACCACATCAAACTGCGCAGCCATTCAGTAAGTTTCAGCAAATTGTCTATTTGCCTGTAATCAGCCAGTATGAATGGCAAAAGCTTATCCATGGGATGGCACAAAAGAAACAGGATATGAGTCATAGTGGTGATGAGCTGCCTGGGGTGGACAAGAGATCAACTTTAAAAAGGAGCATAAAGGATTTTTACTAGTTGTATTACACTGCTCCATACCCATTGCAAGATACGACCTCTCTGTGGTCAGCTAACTACCTCATAGGTTGGTATACAAGTGTCTGTTTGTGTAATCTGGTTCCTTTCACTTCACTTGTCTTAGCTCTATCTCTACCCTGAGAAATGTAGGCCTCCAAGACAACTATTTAAGATAATGGCATATGGTCAGATTTCAGTGATAATGTATTACAAACTGTGGCGGTGCAATTAAAGGATCAGTGTGTAGGATTTAGTAGCAGCTATAGATTGCAACCAACTGAATTCTACTCACTTTCTAAGCGTTAAGGAGAAACTACTGTAGATGTCATTAAGGTAATGAAAACACAATAATTCTCATTTTCAGGTGATTATACACTAATAAAAACACTGGATGAAATAAACTTAACAACAAGATAGGACAGCTTTTAAGAAACTGCCTCAACTTGCACGGCAACAGATACAAATTAGGAAGTCAGCTGGGAGGAAATATCAATTCAACTTCTGGATAAAGACATTATATATTTTTTTTCCCCATACTATTTTGCACCACTGTAAATAACATAATTACACCAGTTAGTCATAGATTCCTTCCTCATTCACTGAAGCTACCACACAGCTTGTTATCTTGCTCTGCAAAACAGCAAGCTGTTGGGAGCAAGAGGAACCTGAGGCAAAGATAAAGAAACAGCTGTTTCAGAAGGGTCAGTAACAAGTATCACTCAGTCAACGGCCATCTGCCACTCTTGCCACACTGCCAATATACAGTATTTTAAACAAATGTGAGGGTTAGAAGAGGATGATACAGATGTTTGGGTTCGATGAAACAGTGCATGTAGTCCTGTGTTGGTGGGTGTGTGACTGAGAGAGAGCTGCTTGTCTCCTTACATAATTGTATCTCAAACATTAGCAAACCAGAATTTTTGTGAAAGTTTCTCAAAGTGTGTGTGAGAAAGCATTAATTGACAGAGTTTGGAATGCAGAGTGATTTGCAAACTGGTCTCCCTAGTTTGCTGGACCCTGTCCAAGGACACATAGCTAGCAATACACCAATTAATGTAAGTCAATAAATAGACTGGTCCTGCATGATTGGGAATACTGTTGCAATTCTTTGAGGTAATATTAAGCCCTCTCTCTAAAATAGCCATTTGCAGACTCTCAGAACGCAATAACAAGAGCAAGGGCCACTGAAAGTGATAATACCAGAGATATGGCTGGGGTTTATGCCAAAGATGATGCCAACCACTTGCAGACATCTACAACCTGATCTTCTCCTCCCTCTCTTTCTCTTTCTTCCTTTCCTTATCCTCTTTCTCTCTCATTGTCTGTGTCAGTGTGGCTTAAATTAAGCAAGTAACATGAATCTAACAAGGTTTACAGTATCTATGAATTATATGCATTAAACACAGCTGAAATGTGTGAGTATGGAGGGGACAAACAAGGCAGTTTGCAGTGGCAAAGACTCAGCTTTACCCAATTAACTCATGTAGATCAAATATTACTCAAGTCAATTGACACCGCCAGTTATAGTATCTTAACTCGGCCCTTCTCACCCCAGCCCCAGAGTATTTGAACTGAACCAAAAGAATTTGTATGTTCCCTATGGGTTACACTGTGGCTCATTTTACACATCCACCTCCTCTCTTCTTTCACTCAATGAAAACGGACAAAAATAGCTGACAAACTTTTCACATGATCTTGGTTCCCTCACTTTTTTTCCACATGCTTCTCATGGCTTATTGACATTGCATATAACTATTCAGTGTTTGAGAGGGAGGGACAGAGAATATGAAGCATTTAACTCTCAAACAAGGCACATATTATTGTTGGCTGGATTCAGTTTTTAGAAGAAAAAACAGGCTCACAGCCTGTTTTCACAAAAAAAATTCCCAAGAGCAAGGGAGAGAAAACTATTTTCTTATTCATTTCTCCATCTCTTACTCAAAGGCACAACCTCAGGACACAACTATTATTTTCTCTCTGTTTGTTTTCCCTCTCCAACCATCTATTTATTTTCATATATTTTACCTTTAATATTAAACATATTTTCCTCCTCCCACATTGTACCCTCGCTCCGAGGCTCTCCATGATCGAGAGTGAACTATTTGAGCTGCCCTTGTTCTCACAGCTTTGACATATTTCTGGCAGCAAGTTGCCGGGAGGAGCTGGGGCTCACAGCAATATAGGAGGGAAGGAAGGAACTTGCAGAGAGGGAGGGAGATGGAGGGAGATGGAGAGGAGGAAATGGTAAAAAAAAATTAAAGCGAGCAAGATAGCAAGTGAGAAAGGGAAAGGGATGGTTGTGAAACTGCTGTGTGGAATGTGAGCCTATAAGGTAACAGTAACAGGGGGAAGAAAACAGCCGAGTAGAAATGAAAATATAGGGCTATCATGGAAGACTTTTCTCAGAAGCTTACAAGCTTACGACACCACCCTACCCCACCCCCCCCCCCCCCCCCCCC